CCCCAAAACCCCAAAACCCCATCAAACTTTTATTTAAAAATTATAAAATTAAAAATAAGATTAAGCGTACTATATGTTTTTATTGTTACAATTATTATTAAAATATATTCTTTTCAGCCCTTATTTAGCTATATCTATCTAAACTACTTATTCATGCCATCAACTTCAATTGTCTCCCTAATCTCTTAGGCAAGTTAATCAAATGTTAAAGTTTAAGTCTATACCTCTTTCAAAATCACGTTTTTTACTTTTTGTTGATCTATTTAATCTGATGAATTTGATTAAGCTATTGAAATCTATTCTTTTACTTCTTCATCTAATTCTTCATAATATGACTAGTCATTTTCTTCATTACTCATTTACTACTTCTGTAATCCTTAGCTAAAATTTTAACTAGCTTAACCCCTTATTCTTTTAAAGTTTCTTGCCAATAATCCTTCATTAAATGTACCTGTATTTGGGAAGCAAAATACTCTTCCCTTGTATCTCCAAGTGAATTCATTATAAAATGCCTCCCAAGTTTCATCATCAAATACAGTAAAGCGAATCTATTTCAGGCAGCTATCATTATTGTAATTTTCAAAGCAAAAATCTTCAGCTGCTCTAAAGAAATGAGCTGCACATAGATTTTTAGGGAATCCATAAAACCCTGTAGAGATAGCAGGAACTGCTACAGATTTACAATTATATTTAATAGCAGTTAAGAATACATCTCTTATACAATCATATAGCAATTTTTCATCTTCTATTAAACCCTAAAACATTGAGTTGAAAGATAACTGCTTACATTAGTCCACACTGGACCAACAGCATGAATAATATACTTGCAATTCTTCATTAAACCAGAGGTAGTTATAACTCTAGCTGTTCCTATTTAAGCCTATTAATTCTTCTTCAGCCATTACTCTGACTCTTCTTGAATTCTAATTCCTCCTTTCATGAGAATAGCCTTTGAAACGCCAGCATCATGAATTAAGTGCTCATTTGAAGCATTAACAATGGCATCTACTTTTTCCTCAGTTATATCGCCCTGACTAAGAGAAACTTCTAGCCAACCACCAAGGATTACTTTATTCTACCCTGCTATTTAGCATTATAGCATTTCTTGTTCTTGTTATATCTTATCTATTTTAGCAGTTGAGGGTTTTGAAGCTGATTTTGAAATCGATTTACTATTTCCACTTGCTGGCTAATTTACCTAAGGTTTATACAATTCTTTCTCTATGATATTAGGAGGAAGGTGTTAAATGATCCCACCAAAGAATGATTTCATAAACGAATAGCCAGACTTTTCTTCTTCTGCTTGTTGCTTTTTTTCAACTAATAATTTGATTTTGATATTAAATTACTTTATTCATTACTCTGCTCTTGTTAAGAGTTTACTTTCATCTCTTCCTTAGCTTTATTTTTCGTTTTTACCATAGAAAAATTAATTAATATCAATCAAATTAACTTATTTATGACTATGCATATTTCTTGTAATGGGGTTTTGGGGTTTTGGGGTTTTGGGG